ATTCCTATGGGAAATGGTGCTTCACATAATGATGTTTTCACATAACTTTTTTTTTTCGGAACCAATTAACATCGTTATGCGAGGCACCACTGTAATGCACTTTCCGTAGAGTACATCTATCTCGTTTTCCAGATAAGAAAAAGAATAATCAGCAACCGGACATCTAACACTTAACAAGAGAAAGGCAAGTCCAACAGTGAAAAATCTCTGTGGCCAAAATCCTGTTGTGCCATTACACTTGTTATAGTCACAATTTGTCATAGGATAAGAAGTCTCCATAGGCCTAATGAGAAACACATGATTTTGGTGTTCAACAGATATGCCTGCAGATTCCTAAAATTATGGTAACTCATTGCTAAAAGTGATCCTTTTTGTGTAGATGCAGAACCCCTAGACAAAGTCTACTCAGGGCAGCTTACCTAAAATCATTCATTAAACAATGTACATATACAGTTAAAACAACAGTTTAAATTAACAAGATTAGCATTGGTTAAGATGGAAAGAATAAAGAAAACTAAATGAAAAGAAAAATCAAGTACTGACAGGAGGGAAGGCCTGCTTAAAGAGCCAGGTCTTTAACTGACTCTTAAAAACAGCCAGCGAGGGTGCCAGGCGAATCTCTGGTTCAAGTTAGTGTGCAAGTTAGTGTGTAACGCTGATACTTCTACTTCAGGTCCCTTTTATTTTGTTTTAGACATGTATTCGCTGGTTGTTGTGTTCCTCATCCACTAGACTGTCTTGTTTTATATGGCCCTTGGAGTTTAAAGCTGATTTTAAAATCGGCTTTTAAATCGGTGTTTGGATAATACTATCTACGATAGACTGTTCCGAGAGCCCTGGTGGGAAGAAATGATATGAAGAAATATTCTACACAAAAGGATGGATGGATGGATGGATGGATGGATGGATGGATGGATGGATGGATGGATGGATGGATGGGATATGAAGAAATGGATGGATGGATGGATGGATGGATGGATGGATGGATGGATGGATGGATGGATGGATGGATGGATGGATGGATGGATCAATGAATGAATGGATTGATGAATGGATGGATGGATGGATGAATGAATGGATTGATGGATGGATGAATGAATGAATTGATGGATGGATGGCTTGATGGATGGATGGATGAATGAATGAATTTTCCAAGCGCTTCTGCTGAGCCCACCTTCCTCCAAGTCTCAACGCAACTTCTGGGCCAGACTCACCTGTGCAGGAGCGGAGGTCAGAGTCACAGCAGGTTTGAGTGGCGTGGTCCCAGTACTTGTTGGCCCGGCCTGGCTCTTGACAGGCTGCAGCACCAGCTGCTTCACAGGCCGGCCCGGCTGCACAAGACGGTGGAGTGTGGCAGGAGTCCCAGCTCCGGGGGACACTTTGGTGGCAAGCACCGCGTTGCCCGAAACAATGGAAACGCCCGGCCGCAAGGGGGTGCCTGTCAACACCTTGGCAAAGGTGACTTTGCCCCCATTGGCCGCCCCGATAGGCTGGGCCTGGATCTGGGCCACGTGGGCGCCCGTCATGGAACTGCCCGCCGGTGCTTTCAGGATGACAATCTTGGGGGCCGCCGGAGCAGGCGGGGCCGCCAGCGTGGTCTGCGGCGCTCCGGCCGACGTCTGCTCTGCGGCGCTCCGGCCGACGAAGCTGGAGGGGCCACCACCGGCGTGGTGGTCGTGGAGGAGACGCCCATGAAAGGGTTGCCCTGGCTGAGGACCTCTTGGTCCTGGGAGGCCTGCAGAAGTCCAGGTTGGTCTTGTTGTGACAGTTCGGGCACCGCCTCGGACTGCGTCTCCGGGAGGGGCAGAGTCTGTGTTTGGGGGGTTTCAGGCTGTGGGGTTGCGAAGCTGGAGGGGCCACCACCGGCGTGGTGGTCGTGGAGGAGACGCCCATGAAAGGGTTGCCCTGGCTGAGGACCTCTTGGTCCTGGGAGGCCTGCAGAAGTCCAGGTTGGTCTTGTTGTGACAGTTCGGGCACCGCCTCGGACTGCGTCTCCGGGAGGGGCAGAGTCTGTGTTTGGGGGGTTTCAGGCTGTGGGGTTGCCTGCAGCTCCTTAGAGCCTCCCTCAAGAGAATCCAAGGCCCCACCGGGAAGCCCCAAAGCCTCCTCGATGGGATCCGGGGGGCCCTGGTTGAAACTCTCGTCCGTCAACGAGTCCAAGCCAAAGAGGTTGGGGTCATCAAAGAGGTCCATGATGGGATCAGCCATGATGGAAGGAGACTGTTAGCTCCTGGACGAGTCAAGGAGGGCGCCGGGGCTCCTTCTCCCCAGGATGAGATTCCAAATTATCTCCCTAGGGTCCCGATCGGGCAGGACCAAGCCTCTTGAAGGAGGAAGGGCCCCCGTCTAGAGCTGGCTGAAAAGGAAGAGACAAACAAAGGCCATTGAATGAGAACAAAGACAGCTATCCATATTCCCCAAATACACAACAGATGACCAAACATAATTCCACGGCTCCTCTTTCTCTGTGCCCATCTGATACTAAACAGGCTAACAGGTCGGTTTTACATTGGCGACATCAACAGGAGGGAAAGGAAAAAGCACTAGCGTGTCCAGAACCTTTCTTGAGGTTCTTCATCAGTTTTTCCAACCCGGTGGGCTCTAGATGTGGACAGCATCTCTCATCACCCCAATCCTGGCTGGCCGGTGACGGGCGTCACCGTCCATTTCTGGAGGGAACTAGGATAGAAAAGGCAGCCTCGCACAGAACCGCAAGAATACACAGAATTCTCTTTCTATCCCTTCTTTTGAATCAGCTTCTAGTCTGGCCGATACACATGTTCATGTTTCTTCAATTCATCCCTTATAGAAGCCATTTGTGTCTTTCTTTAGCAGAGTCTGAACAGCACAACTTTTAAGTTCAGAAGCCTGGAGAGACAGCTGGAAATATTACAAAAGGTAAATATTTCAAATTTTTAGAGCTGGCAACAAAGACCAAGGTACTGTATCCCTGATGCACGAAGGGACAAGTAATCCCATTCTTTTTGGTAGCCCATTCTAGAATTTTAGTTATTTGCACATTAACAGCCTATGTGGAGGACACATCTAAGAAATCTCCTGAGCAGCAGCACAAATGTCAGACAATCCTGGGGTTAGATCCTAATTACCTGTTCAGATGAGATCTGTCTATAGGGTTGTAGGACTTCTTACAATCTGTATCATTTAACAAAATAGCCACCTTTGATTCAAAGAATTGTCAATTAGTCACTCAGAGTCCATGTCGGGACCTCCTTTAGCCCAGGACCAAGTTTCTTGAAAGAGAACCTTCTCACTTACCTACCAGAACCTTAAATCTTATTCAGACGGCTTGTTCTCTGATGTCCTTTGCCAAACGAGGTGAGGTGGATGCCCACCGATCCTTTTATAATGGTTCACCTAATACCAACCTCTGCCTCTGCACCCTTTCAGATAATTCACGCCCTTGACCCTATGAGTTTTGGGATCTGAGCTTTGGAAACAGTTTTGAGTTTCAGGTGGTCTCTTATGCTGCCTTAATCGGTGATATGATTGAGGTCTTATCTACCAATCTGGTTGACTACAAACTACTTACAGTACTTTATGTAAGGAGGATGGCAAACAGATGTTCTGAATAAACCATAAGTTACAACAATTGTTTCCAGAAATACGGCAAATGCATTTGGATAATCTGTTGATAATAGCCTCCACACTCAACATGCCCCCTCTTAAAGATGGCTGTTACTCAGAAATTTTTGCTAGACTGATACAGGCAGAGCCATCACTACTACAAAATGAAGTATGTCTGTGAATTCTTCCCATTGGTTGAATCACCCAGTCTTTTGAGAATCTGTAACATCCATATAGGCAGACATGAGAACTGTGATTGACCAACTGCTTTTTTTATGAGTTTCGTCATCGTCATCATCTTAGAACTGCAGAACTGGAAGGGACCTTATGGATCATAAGAGTCCAGCCCCTGTCAAAGAGGTTAGTGGGGAACTGAATTCCCAGCCTCTGCCTCCGCAGCCAGAGATCTAAACCACTGAGCTATCCAGCAGTTTAGGAAAGAAAGAAATGTCATTCCTCCACCATTTACTCACCTGCACAGAACTCCTAGTCACCTATGGCGACAAGGCATAGGTTGACTAGAAAGCAGGCTCATCATCTATCCAATTGAAAAAGCTCTCACACACATTGAGCAAGTTTGCAAACTGCTTTTGAACTACATTCCCCAAAATCCACCGAGCCAGCATGATGCTTACCCTGTTTCCCCGAAAATAAGACAGGGTCTTATATTAATTTTTGCTCCAAAAAAAACCATTAGGGCTTATTTTCAGGGGATACTTTATTTTTTTCATTTACAACCTACGTTTATTCAAATACAGTCACGTCATCTTCCGGTTGCTGCAAAAGGGTGGAGGGGGGGGCTTTAATCTTCTTCCGGTTGCTGCACAATGGTGGACGGCGGGCTTTCACTTCACTAGGGCTTAGTTTTGGAGTGGGGCTTATATGACGAGCATCCTGAAAAATCATACTAGGGCTTATTTTCAGGTTAGGTCTTATTTTCAGGGAAACAGGGTATTAGCTTCCAAGCCATGCATAATGGCCCAAGTGAGATGTCCATAGATCTTGTTTTCATTGCTCATTAACACTGTAAAACAAATAGGGAGAGGGTCAGGTTAGGTCTTATTTTCAGGGAAACAGGGTATTAGTTTCCAAGCCATGCATAATGACCCAAGTGAGATGTCCTTAGATCTTGTTTTCAATGCTCATTAACACTGTAAAACAAATAGGGGGAGGGTGGGCAAATTACCTGGCAAGACAACGGGATAGACTTTACGAGTCCATGTCTGGCTTAGCAAGTCATAATTTTGCACTGACACTTCTTATTTTCAGGGAAACAGGGTATTAGTTTCCAAGCCATGCATAATGACCCAAGTGAGATGTCCTTAGATCTTGTTTTCAATGCTCATTAACACTGTAAAACAAATAGGGGGAGGGTGGGCAAATTACCTGGCAAGACAACGGGATAGACTTTACGAGTCCATGTCTGGCTTAGCAAGTCATAATTTTGCACTGACACTTTCAGATGCTCAGAATTCAACATGTAAGACTGAATTCTGCCCATGCTGCTTAGTTGTGCTGCCTGGGGAATTTTGGGAATCGTAGTTTGAAAGAAGATAATATAAAGTAGTTAAAACTAAATCTGAACTTCTCTTGTTCAATATCCAAGGGTCACCCTAGGGCTCAGACACAACACAAACAATAACTTTAACCTTGGAACTGCACAGCTGGAACAGACCCTTTAGATCATCGAGTCCAGCCCCTGTCAAGGAAGCACGGTGAGGGATCCAACCCCCCCAACCTCTGGTTCTGCGGCCAGGGACCTAAATCACTGAGCTAAAGCGGGGTTAGACATTAATCTGGACCATCAAGGAAGGAGGAGAGAAAGATTGCACTGCCTGTTCTGAAATTTTTATCTGCTACCACATTGGTTTCTGTGTTTATTTTTGGGATTGCCTGGTGTTTTAGAGTAGTTTCATAATCGTTGTTGTGCACTGCTCAGAGTAGGAATTTGCTAGATGGACAGGTAGGTAGGTAGGTAGGTAGGTAGGTAGGTAGGTAGGCAGGCAGGCAGGCAGGCAGGCAGGCAGGCAGGCAGGCAGGCAGGCAGGCAGGCAGGCAGGCCAGTCAATCCATGGCCTTTTGGTGATATAGAATTAATTCATTTGTATGCCATCCCTGTTTTTAGAGGCCTTTCAAGCTCAAGAATGGCTTGGAAATCGACAAGAAACACCCTATTATTTGAACATTTCCTAACTGTTTTTTAAGGATGTTTGTCAACATGAGAGTGACTGTCTTTCCTCCAAGGGGATGGTGGTCCATCTTAAGCTTGGATCTAAGGAATCAGAAGAAGGAAGTGAATCAGGGATCTTCAAGGTGCCCATCCATAGTGAGTACTTGGAGAGCAAGCTCAATACAAGTCACCAGATCCTAGTCTTCTCCATTCAGATGAGGTATATTGTGAAGTTATTTGTATTGCATATATTAGCATACACCGTTTTTTTTTTACTGAAGCAGGACCTCCTGGCAGGGACCATGTATTTTTCTGAAGCGTTCGGCAGCGCAAACTCAGTGGAGAGGTCAATACACCCCCAGCCACAATCCGAGTTTTCCTTTGACTTCCATCCAGGCTCATAAGCCGCCTTGCACTTCTGTTTATCAAACCTCTCAACAGGCTCAGCTTCTTGAAACATGGTGGGAACACGAGAAAGCCAGCGAGTCGAGGCGAAAAGAGAACTCCAAACCTTCCCGATACACTGCCGATCTAAATGGAGGCACATTAGCAAGAGGGACTTCCCACTGCTCCCATCTCAATGTTCTGAAGGCATATTATACCTAATGGTCGCATATTATCTCTGTATATTTGAAAGGGCCCTGGGAGAGATTATGGCATAATTCAAGAGGGGGGAGGAAACACAGATTTAAATCTCAAACCAGTACATTTTAAGACAACAGGATCAATGCTGCTTTCCCTCTAGACCTCAGAGAGGAGAGCCAGGTGGAAAAGCACCACTAGAAGCCAGATATAGGAGCTGATGATTGTGGCGCCTCTAGGTTTTTGTTTTCAGGGCCAAAAGTGGAGCTCACACACACATCATAATATTTCACAAATAAATAGTATCTCCTTTCCACCACCAAAGAAAGCAAAGCCCACTAGAACACAATTCTAGTGCGTCAAATCACATTTGCCCCTCTTTAGAATTGTTTCTGCCACTTCTGATCTTTTTATGGGGCTCCTTAATCCCAAGGTAGCGAGAGCTGGCTGTAGTGGCCAGGAAAGAACACTGCGTCTTCCAGATATTCTCCCCCGCAAAAAACTAGGGATAAGCAGTGATCAACTAAAAATTGTGGAATCAGCTGGCCTAAGGATCAATGGCAGGTGATCACCCCAATGCCAATACATCATCCTAGAACTTCTAAGAGGGTGGATACTGAAAGAAACAGGACCAGTGTAGACTTTCAAAACGTGTAAAAACACTGGCATGTATTGTCAGAAAGAAAATTTGTTTCTTACGGTTCTCCTTCTCTGCAAGAGCTTCCCTGAATTCCTCCAGATGCCTAAACTACAACCTCCATTATCCCCAACCCTGCTGCTTGTGCAGCTCACACACTTGGGGCCAAGCATGCCTGAGCCACAAAATTAAAAAGTCCCAAAGAATGACACATGGGGTCCCCCTGAACAGAAGCAAACAAACAGGCCTGCACCTGTCCCAATTTCAGCAGTGATGCTGAAGAATCACCCTGCTCTTGGCACACGCGCGCACACACTGTTACCTGTACCTTTCTTAAAACCACCGCTGCCCCGATTCTGTCCCCAAACTTCCCGAGGGTCCT